AGTACTCTACCCAGTTTACGTCTGGCCGCCAGAGGATATCGGAAGGTGAACCACGTCATGTCGTTCCGAGAATCATGATCATAAGTCTGATCAACCATCTTCTACTACGACTACGACCCTGGTTATGAAATGAAATAACCGTGACCGTGTAGTGCAATTCAGCGTATGCTGAGCGCTAATTTCGCTGACCCTATGCTAACTTCAACGCCATTTCCAGGACCACGAACTCTGCCGGTGTCGGAGATGGAGGGTGTTCTCTCTTTTCTATGGGAGGGTTCGATGGAGTGGTACTAGGAGTAGCCGGTGCTGTAGGAGTGGGTGCTTCAGGCGCGGGTGCAGGTGGGGGCGTAGGATTGTCGGACATCGCGGTTGACTATCTTTCACGGTTGAGAAACATCCTTTTATTGGATTTGAGATTTAATGGTCCCGAGAGCCAGAAAATAATGCTCACGGCTTCCTGTCAGAGACCAGGAGGGATGCCTAGGTCCACCATTGCCGATCTCCAACTGGGCTATTGATGGAGCTTGAACTGCTCGTGTACCTGCCGATGAAACGGGATATTACTATCCATCAACAATCTAGACTGCGAAACCCCCACAAGGAACAAGACGTCGATAGGGGAATGGTCTATGCCTCCTTGAGCGTGGCGCAAAAATGCATCGAATAGTATTTGTACGAATTTCGGTCGAATCACTTTTAGCAGTTATAGAGTATGGTGGCGTGCTGGGGCGGCGATGGACCCGACGTACATTTCATGTTTAATTTACTTTAATTCGCTCTCATACAACTGAGAAAAAGAGAAATTTTTTCCTAAGACCGTAAGGCACACAGGGTCCTGGAGGCTAACAACTTGAAGGTGTCAGACGCCGAACTGAGTTTGTTTGAGCACCCCGATGTGCGCGACAGTTCGACATCGGTCGCGTCTTCGAACCGACTGGGCAGACGCTAAAAGAGACAGAAGAAGTAGCTTGATTAAGGGACATCACTGCGATAAGAAAGAAAAAAATCTTTCATGCTCCTGGCACGCCGGAGCGATTGCGTAGTACTTGAATGAAAAGCTCAATAGCGCGACAAGCTCAAGACAGGGAGCTGAAGCTGGGTAGGAACGATGACAAGATCCATCCGGGAAGATGCTGAACGTCGGTGAAAGCATCGGTCTCGCTTCATAGAGTAGGGTGAACTGAGAGGGGTGCTATATAACCACTGTGTTTTCAGACACTGGAACTCCAACGGAACCCTCAAGCCAAATCCACCGCGTACTTCAGTGGGTCTCTTCATATTCCTGACCTAATAAACTCCGTCACTGATAGCTTTCAAGTTTATAATGGTTCGAATCATCAAGGACTCCAAAAATGCGGAAAAGCGTGTTCTTCTCGATGATGATACCCATGCCCCGATCAATAACATAAACATCGGTCATTTCTGGTATCTTTATCCTGACAGCACGCTTGAGCGTCTAGAGCAGCTCAAGGCCTTGCAGCATTATACCGGACCCGAGGAACCGACTACCGAGTCTCCAAAAGACTTTAACCCAGACCGTCCGTTCAAGCATGACCTTTCTCGAATGCACCAAAAGACAGGCGGACTCAAATTGGACCGGAAGATACCCTGGTACAAGATATGCATGGCTGGTGATGCTGAATATCACCCAGGTTTTGTGCGCCACCGCATTATTTCTCGAGCCTTGCAGACAGGCGATGTGTGTCACATAGCGTGCGCGATGATTTGGGATCCTTTGCTGGATGTCATTATCTTTACCGAGCCTGGAAAGTCTGCCAGTAAAATTAAAGGAACATATTTCAACGCCATTCGAGATCAGGCTCGAGATGAGAAGGAATACGAGAGGCTGAACGAGCCTACGGAGCGAGTCGTGGAATACCCGACCGCTACAGATTTCCTCTACAGAGCCCTGCGGCCCCAGGGTAAAAGTCTTTTGAACTCCCCTTTGAGGAACACTGAGGCATGGACGAAAGACAAGAGGAACCAGGAGATTCAGGACGAGATCGAGAATCATGCAAGTCCCAATGTTGTTACTCTCATCGAGGGTCATGCTAATGATCGCCGTTGTTTAGAGAAAGCTTTGGGGATATGTAAACGGACTCGGCGGTATCCTCGAGTATGTTTCAATGGGCGTGACTGGTTGCACAACCTTGATTGCTTTAGCCTATCAGAAGCATGGGCCGGAAGTCTTCTTCTCCACCAACACTACTGCGCTCTCGCACCCCCAGATTACTGAAGACGAGATTTGCGACTGGGCAGGTGAACAGGGTCTCAACCTGAAAGCGGATGCGGAGCGACGAGACTTTTGCATCATCTGGTCGCGATACAGTGGTAGCAGCCCTAACGGTTACAATCCAGCAGGAGATAGTTCTGTAGAGGGTCAAAAGCAGCTTATTGACTGGGTAAAGAATCTCGGTTTCGAGATCATCACTATCGGACATGACTACAACGAGAATACCAAAACGCCTAGGGGTAATATTCATTTGGGAGAGTTCTGGGCAGCCGAAACGACTCCATTGGGCAAGCCTAATCCATTCTTCGACAAGGATCGGGCGGGCCAAACTTCCTTTTACGCGCTTCTTCACAAGCGACACAACATCTTCCAGCTTGGACAGAAAACCGGAGGCGTGGACAATGCGGCCCTTCTCGGAGTTCGTACAATTTATATCGAGGACAAGGGCAGTCCATACCAGTCCAGGATGCTCAAATGGTCCCAAGTTATGGAGCATTACAAAGGTGTAATCATTGATTTGCCTCCCACGGCCATAGGCAAGGCTTTGAGAAAGGTCGAGGCCGGCCTTCCCGAGGATACACGATATAGAGACCCTAAGAAGAATCTGGATGACGCCAAAAAAAAGCTCCAGGTAACATTTATGAATAACAAATACTCGACGGAGGCTGGGTCTGCCATTGTAACACAAGTGAAAAACTTGATGAATTTGAAGATTTAATTCAATGGGGACGTACTTACTGTAATAAGTAGGCTCAAATAGTTGTTATAGCGAATCAGAGAATGATTTGTGAGTCTCATTTGACTCTGGAAGGAATTTTTGTTCATTTCAAGTTGGATATTACTGAATCTAGAAAGCCCTTATTACCTTACCTTACGCGCCAGGGGGGCTCCTGCAAAGCTTTGAGATGAACGTCAGTAAAGCCACGTATTCGACGCGTGAATTTGACAGACAAGGGAAAATGGAAAATGAAATTCTCATTAACTGAACAAATAGCCTGGTAGTGGTTGCGAAGCGCCGGCGTTTGTGAATTAGACGCCCAAGTTCCACCTCCGTTCCCTCCCGGAGATTTCACACCACGTCCATTTTTTCCATCTTGACCTCCAACCACCACTTGGCCTTTCTTTCCACCCAAAATGTTCGCGCGTAACGCCTCCCGAGCCTTCGTCGCTCCCTCTGCATCACGACTTTTTTCCAGTTCCTCAGCTCGTCAAACCAAGGTCACTGTTCTCGGTGCTGGAGGTGGAATTGGCCAGCCTTTGAGTTTGCTGTTGAAGACTGACCCATTGGTGTCAAATTTGAGCTTGTATGATATTCGTGGCGCACAGGGTGTTGCAGCCGACGTTAGCCATGTTGACACTGCCAGCGAGGTAACGTCCGAATCCAGTTCCGATTCGTTGTCTCTGATTTTCACGTCTTGTAGGTCAATGGATATCCCATGGAAAACCTTGATGAGGCTCTCGATGGCACCAAGGTTGTCGTTATCCCCGCTGGTGTTCCGCGAAAGGTGTGTATGATTCGCTAATTAGTATTCGTGTCTGACTTTGATCTCGTAGCCTGGCGTAAGTCTTGTGCCCGTGCATCCCTCCGTTCCGTTCTAATTCCGCGTCAATTTCATCTTCAAGATGACCCGTGATGACCTCTTTAACGTGAGTTTCTTTCCACGTCTACCAGAAGCCTAGATTTCTAACCCGTCACACAGACCAATGCCTCCATCGTCCGAGACCTCGCAGCTGCCGTTGCACGTGTTGCTCCAACCGCAAACATCCTCGTCATCTCCAACCCCGTCAACTCTACTGTTCCCATCGTAGCCGCAACCCTCGATAAAGCGGGCGTCTTTGACCCTGCCCGCCTATTCGGTGTAACCACCCTCGACGTCGTCCGTGCCTCTCGCTTCCTCTCAGCTATCACCGGCGCCAGCCCGGCCGACTGCAATGTTCCTGTCGTCGGCGGACACAGCGGCCCCACCATCGTTCCCCTCCTCTCCCAAGTCCCCCAAGGCAAATCCCTCCAGGGCGAATCATACGACAAGCTCGTGCACCGAATCCAATTCGGAGGCGATGAAGTCGTCAAGGCGAAGGATGGAGCTGGGTCAGCTACGCTTTCCATGGCGTATGCCGGTGCCAAGTTCACCAACTCTCTCCTTCGTGGGTTGGCCGGTGAAAAGGGTGTTGTGACCCCGACGTTTGTCAAGAGTCCGTTGTTTGCTGACAAGGGAATTGATTTCTTCTCGTCCCTCGTTGAGCTTGGTGTAAGTGATCTTCGACTCAAACCTGTAGATTCGCACGTCTCAACCATTTTCGTAGGTCAACGGTGTTGAAAAGATCCACCCTCTCGGTCCTCTTTCCGCTTCTGAAGAGAAGCTCCTCGAAGCTTGCTTGCCGGAGCTCAAGAAGAACATTGAGAAGGGAAAGGCTTTTGTTGCTTAGATGAAAGGGGAGCGCCGCGCCAGGGGTTTTATGTACGTGTAGAGTAGTAATAATGAGATTTTTAATGTCCTTTGTTTATTACTCACCTTCTCTTTCCCTCACCACTACAACCGTACATAGACGACTTGTTTTCGTTTAGAACGGTATATCATTCACGGTGTCTCTATTCCTGCGCGCTCAAAATCCTAAAGAAATACGCGAGTTAGACAGATTTAGACTCTAATTGGATTTGGCGTCTAGTCTTCGTTGGAATCGCGGGCCGTTCTATTAGGTTCAACTTTTATAGGCTTGATGGGTAGCGCCCCCTGTTACAACTGAAATGTAGTGGGTCCGTCATGAAGTCCGCGTAACTCAGTGGTAGAGTGTGAGATTGCAATCGATAGCTGCAAATACTTGGAACAATCTTGAAGTCGCGTGTTCGAACCACGCCGCGGACTGTAAACTGTGTTTCCTGAAGTTCTTTTTTCAGGCTTTGTATATCTAGGCGGTGAGGTTATTTCAAGGTACTCTGGCGCGTACTCCGCCACTTATTAGCATACCGCTGCCTTTTTTTATGCCTCGATTCCGGGAAGCCGTACCTCTGACCGTAGGATGTTGAAAGGAATGCAGTGAATATAAATGAATTGCGGCCATAGACACATTAATCTTGAAGCCGCCTTCGAAGCGCAGGATCTCCGTCTTTTTCAAGCAAAAGTGATCAGATAGCATGCAGTCCTCAGTTGTTTCCCCTAGATACTTAGCCTCCATGACTTTGCCATGACTCGGAAAGAATATTTACATCCAAAATCCTAGTGGTTCGAGTAACCTGAAGTTTTATTGATTTACAAGAAGATTGCACAAAACCCTGGCCTCTGTGTTCAATCTAAAGTGCGGACTTGTCACGATTCAAATTCCTTTTGTTCATTGCAGAGAAAAAAATGAAGACATCGAAAAAATGTATCCAGTATCCACACCAAGTCCGCGGCGTGGTTCGAACACGCGACTTCAAGATTACTTTCCCAGAATCATTCAATTGCTCAATTGCAATCTCACACTCTACCACTGAGTTACGCGGACATAGTTGGAAATTATCAACCGGCCCGGCTCTACAGTATGAAGTTACAGCATTCCTTCAATGCTCAGCTTCACACAAACAATGCTGCTATCCAGTTAATCATTCCACGAAACATATAATGATACATAAGTACATGCCTTTTCTAACCATGTGTATGTCTGTGTGTATTGCTTCAACGCCTTAACATAACTAGCTCCCTAACGGTACAGTTTAAGTGAGCGGTCCCTTCTGTAAACATTTGAAATTCAGTTTGGACACACGACTGTTTCATCGCTGTCCATGTTCAACTCGTTCATCCTAATCCAAAGTCCGTCCTTCGATACAAGTATGATCGTAAAATCAGTAATACGACTCCCAACCAATCGAACAAACCTTGACCATCATCGTTAAGACACTCCAGCATCACTTTATCTCTACCTTTGGTTGTTCCTGGACTGGGTACCCACTCTTTCGGCGGTATAGACCACTCGGGCTGAGCATCCAAGTCCATCTTGAAATCGGCGAAGGATTGGAGGAATTTGATTAGGAAGTATGAGACTTCGTTGTATGCGAACTGGCAAGATGGTAAGGTAACGAATCACGCAATGGGAAAGAAATTAATTAGTAAATCGACTCGACCCTTCCATGTATGCGTCCGAGGAATATAAGAAGCTTTCCTGTTGGCCGATACATATCTTGGGACCAGCATTAAAAGGAGTAAATATGAATGGATTGGGGGTTAGATATTTCCGCGCTCGCTCGTCGATGAACCGATCGGGGTCGAATTCCAGAGCTGTAAGGTGAATCAGCAAAGGTTCTCATGTACATGCGTATTACGAGCCGTCAGGACCCCATAAATCCTCTCTGCGGTGGATCAAGAATAAAGGATATATGCGTCTTTCAAATGCCACCAACCACCAAAAACGTAAGCTATGAGGAGTTGCCGTTGCTGGGAAGGAGAAAACATACTTAGTGCCTGCAGGAATATACAGTGGCTGCTCTCCGTTTTTGCGTGGCAAGATGACGGGGGCATTAGAGTGTCTGGTAGGAGCGGATTAAATAAGATATGACTCGGGTCAAAAAACCCAACGAACTATAGGCCTAGTATTGAACGGCACCGGAGGGTACAAACGAAGAGTTTCTGAGAGCCTCCAATTAATGATGGTTCCATGACATCAGATTAAAGCCATTACTTACCATTTAGGAATGCCCTCAGATACTTCATGTCCGTGATGTTCTTGTATGCTGGACGGTCATTATGTCCAACAAAATTCAATATCTCTTTTCTCAGCTTCTCCGTCAGATCCGGACGCTGCGTCAAGACATAGATGGCGAATGTGAGCAAAGAGGCGGTCTAGCTATTATAGTGAATTCATTGGTCGGAGTTAATCAGATTAGCATATACTTTTCGCTCACTGTATCTCTTCCAGCAGCAAGAATATTGACGAGTTCATCCTCAATTACTTGTTTGTCTAGTCGGAAGCGCGTCAGGCCAGATTGCAGCTATGTTCAGCGCGCGCACCATGAGTCGATCGAATCAAATGATCCAGCAAGGTCTCTGTTCCATCTTTTTCCGTCCCAGTTTCTTTGGAAAGAAGCTCATTCAGCTTTTCCTCCAAAGTCGGTTTCGTAAACTCATCAATCTTGTCTCGATGCACTTTAACCTTGTCCTTCCAAAATTCTGCCAAAGGCCACATATCTCCAAGTCGACTTCGTAAAATAGACTGTTTTTGCCCCTGCATGAACGCTTGAACGAACAGGTTTGAAGGATGATTGAAAAATGACTCGTCGTTCTTGAGCAATGTGTTTTTGGGATAGGGAAGTCCGGCGCCGAGAGAGCCTACGTCTTTGCCGAAGAGGAACTCGGTTGCAGAGTCGGGGGTGAAGTGGCTAAATGCATCCTGGATAAATTTAGTGGAAATTGTATAAGAACAGAGATGTTCAATTTACTTGAATTTCTATGGGGTAACCTCGCGCCAGACGAGCTTTGATTTGTTAAGTAGTGTATAACTATACCGATATCAGTACCAGTAGCAGGGAGCATAAAATGAGTGTGCACGTACCTCAGTTGTGGGCAATAACAACTGAGGTACTATGCCTACGTGGCAGTCTATAAGTACTGCGTAGGAATAATAATAGTCCGAAGGCTGCACAGGAGAAAACATATAAGACGCGGAAACAAATGAAAGGTTCATGGTACTAATAAGGAAAGTGTCCAAGCTGGTGCTATGGACCACTCTCTCTAACACCCCCCCTGGTCCATAGATCCATCTAAACCAAGGACATGGACAAACTCCCAATGTAAGGATGCTCCCAAGGACTTCGTGAACCCATCCGCAACATTGTCCTTAGACCTAACCTCGCTTACCATAATCTCCCCGTTCTCAACCTTCTCCTGAACATAATGCGCCTTCGTATCCACATGTTTTACCAATGCCTGTTTCTTCGCATTATGCGATAGGCAAACTGCCCCAAAATTGTCACAAAGCAACCCTACTGGACTCCGCAATGTGAGATCAATTTCTTGCATAAAGGTCGCCAACCAAACACCCTGTTGTGCAGACCTTGCGAGCGAAATGTACTCTGACTCTGTGGAGGAAAGTGTCACAAATGGCTGTCTTTTTGAGCTCCATGACACCGGCGCTCCTGCCATGAAGAAAACATACCCTGAAGTGGACCCCCTAGTGTCTGTGCACATTGCATAGTCCGCATCAACAAAACCAATTGGCTGTAACCCTTCCCCCAGCGCTGGATATTCTGACTGTGGAGCACAGTAGGTGATAGTATAATGGAGTGTGTGTTTAACATAGCCAACAAGCCAGAGTAGGGCTTCCCATTGAGCTCTACTGGGGTTTGACTGGAATTGTGCTAGAAAACTTGTTGCAAATGCCAAATCGGGCTGAGACCAAGCCTGACCCCATAGGGCTGATCCAAGCAAGGGACAGTATGGCTTATCAGACATGAACCTGCAGTCCTCAACCAGCAGAGGGTTAGGAGCTGGGAGTAGGGTCTGCTGAATGTCAGGTGGAAGAGGGGTATGTTGGGGAACTACATGTTGCAGGTCAAAGTGTTCAAGCATTCGTTCAAAGAATGCCTTCTGAGATAGGGTGATGGAGCCATCCCAGATGTTGTGAAATACCTGGCATCCAAGTAGTGTCTCACTCTTCACTTCTCTGAACTCATATCTTTTCCTCATCTCCGTAATCACCTGCTCCTTATTCTCACCTGTACCCCCAAACACATTGTCTCTGTATGTCCCATGAAGTGTATACTTCCCATCTTTCCTCCTCCACCGTACAGACGGATCTGCTTTCGAAGCAATGTACCCATCCTTGGAAAATGCTTTGCCGAGTGTGTCTTGCCAATTGTGAGACCCTTGTTGTAAACTGTAGATGGATTTCTTCAATTTGCATACCAAATGTTCTTGCCCTGGTTTCACAAAACTGCGCAGTTGTTCCATATAAATGTCGTGAGATATAGGACTGTTGAGGAAGGCAGCTTTAAAGTCAACATGAAAGAAGGATAGTTTCAGAACCACAATTATCGCAATGATGATCTGCATTGATTCTAGGCGTGCCACCCCACCATATATTTCCTCAAAGTCCTGTCCAAATATCTGTGTGAAGCCTTGCGCTACCCATCTCGCTTTCCACTTGAGTACTTTGCCAGTAGGACCCCATTTGATTGCATAGACCCATCTTCCCTTTGTAAGATTTGCGCCCGGTGGTAGTGGAATGAGCTCCCAACAGTTCTTCTCTAGGAGTGTTTGGAACTCTGTTTCCATTGCTGGTACCCATAATTGGGGGTTTTTCATAGCTTGTGTATAAGATTTCAGAATGTAGAGACTGTCATTCATTGAAGCAAATGCCCAGGGATTCTTTGTAATAGAGCAAAAGGCTGTAGGTAGGTTGTGGACAATTGAGGCGATGGGCCTTTTCGATGTATCACCCCAATTCATCTCCTTTCTGACTAACACATTGACATTTAGGTTCCTTTTCAGCCCTCGATTGCGTAATACTCAAGTCGACGCTGGTGCTACCGGTGCAGTTGGAACACTTGGGGGTGTTAATGCTGACAGAGTAGTTGGTAGTGGGTGCGCGTTGGGAAGTTCCTCAGTGGTTTGAGGATCATTGAGGTCTGTTGATTGCGAGGGAGCTGTTTCTGCAGCTGAGTCACTCCTCAGCATCAGATCATCAGCCCCCAGGCTGTCAAACCTTAAGTTGGTGACAGTTTCCTTGCTCCCTCTGGTCCTCTTCGCCTCCCCCTCCTTGAACCTCACATCTCGGGACTCGCTCAGTGTGCGAGTCTCTGGTATCCATATGCGATACCCCCTCCAGCCCATATACCCCAGCAGTTTTCCCTTGACCGCCTGTCTCTCGAGCTTGCCACCGGTCTGAGTGCTGTGTAATGTTGCCCAGCAATCACATCCAAATGGGCAGAGATGGGATATATCCTGTTGCTTCTTTGACCATACCTCCATCAGCACTTCATCTGGGAACTGCGCCGTTGGTACAAAATTGTCAACATAGATGAACGTGTTGGCTGCTTCGGCCCAGAAGGAAGGGGGAAAACCGGAGTCCTCAAGCCCAGTACGTACCCCTTCTATGACCATTCTGTTACCTCGCTCAGCCATTCCATTTGCTGCAGATGAGTGCAGTGTAACCTTCTTGATGACAATACCGTGTTCCTCGCAGTATGCTTCCATTACCCCATTGTTGAATTCCCCTCCCCCATCGATGCAAATTGTATGGAGCTTCTGACTGGTCTGTCTCTCAGCCATCACCCAATACTTGTGGAACACTTTCAGCATTGTGTTCGCTCTTTTGTCAGGAAGGAAGTACAGAAACCTAACTGAAGAACATCTGTTGGAGCACAACATCATATACAGGGCTCCCCCTTGACTCTTTGTCTGTGCTGGTCCCCAAAGATCTAGGTGTACTCTTTCCAATACCTGGGTTTCATGTGTGACTTTCTCATTGAACAGACACTGTGTAGCCTTCCCGTAGAGACACACTTCACACAT